CTCTAGTCTTCAGCACTTATATGACCTTATTGTGTCGTGAGTGTCGTAAAACTCTTACTGAAAAAACAAAACAAAAACAAACAAACAACAAAAGCAAAAAAAACCCCGCAGACATCCCAGTTCTTTTTAGTTGGCGTACATTATCGTTAATGTGTCGATGTGCATCTGGCAACACTGGAACAAAACAAACGCATTGTGGAAGAACATTTTATTGCCGCATATTTTTACGGAGGTTGGCGAAGAGTGTTTTGTAACGAAGCGTGGTGTTCGCAAACGTGTAGAAGCAGAAGTGGATGGGTGGCGGGTGCTCTGGTGCGGTTTGCTCTTTTTTTCCTATCAAACATCACACTATCGTCCGTATCTCCCCTCCTCCTTTTTAATTTTGTGTTAAAATTACTTTCTTGTAATACCTCCAATCTTCGGCGCTTGTATGACCTCATTGTGTCGTAAAACTATTATTGAAAAAACAAAACAAAACAACAAACAACAAAAACAACTGAAACCAAAAAAACCCAAGTTCTTTTTAGCTGGCGTACATTGTCGTTTGTGTGTTGACGTGCATCTGTTAACTTGAACGAAACAAAAGCATTTGTGGAAGAACGCTTTATTGCGGTGTTTTGTAACGAAGCATGCTCTTCGCAAAAGTGTAAAAGTAGAAGTGGGTGGATGGTGGGCGGATGCTCTGGTGCGGTTTGCTCTTTCTTTCCTATCAAACTTCTATTGTCCTTATCTCCATCCTCCTTCTTTTTTGTGTTTGTTACTTTCTTGTAACACCTCCAATCTTCGGCACTTGTATGACCTTATTGTGTTGCAAGTGCCGTAAAACTCTTACTGAGTGGGTGGTTGACGGGTGCTCTGGCGTGGTTTGCTTCTTCTTTCCTATCAAATATCTATCGTCCTAATCTCCCCTTCTTCCTTTTTATGTTTGTTACTCTCTTGTAACACCTCTAATCTTCTGGCGCTCATATTATGACCTTCTCCAGTTGCGAGCGCCGTAAAACCTCTACTAAAACTAATACTTAGAAGTGAGTGGTGGACGGGTGCTCTGGTCTGGTCTGCTCATGCGGAGCTCAGCTCGCTGTGGGTCTCCTCCTTCTTTCCTATATGTCAACCTATATTGTTGTCCGTACCTCTGTTCTTTCTTTTTTTCTTTCTTTTTTTTAAAGAGTAAATTGTGAGTTACTCCGAAGTGGTAACTGTATTCTTCGGCACTTGTAACCAATTTGTGTTGCAAGTGCCGTAAAACTCTTACAAAAACTAAACGTGTAAAAGTCAGGTTGTGTTTGTGGTTTTTGATGCATGTAATCGGAGTTTTTACGTGGAGCCTTTTGGACTGTGATGATTTTAGTTCTGTTGGGGTGGGGGGG